GGGGTAAAGTGCTAAGCACAATGCTTGGTTCATGGTAGCCTGTGCCAGCAACAGTACCCACGCTTCAAATTTATTATAATTCAGATAAGGCTATTGGATAATTAGGTAATTTCATATATGGAGAAAGTATGTTTTGGATGCAAAAATAGTAGTCTAAAATCAACATCAAAGTAATAAATATGAATACATGTCAGAATAAAGGATTTTCTAAAATAGTAGAAGTAATCAGAAGAAAAACCACAAAGGAAATACCAACTCCAGCACATTCTTATGCATTCATTAAACAGGTCATTTAATAAATTATATTCCTGTTATTCTGATTTGAATCCATATGTACTTTAAAGCAACAAAATCATATTTATTTAAGAATGTTTCATAATTGAAAGTTTTCAATAAATTTGCTTCATTTGTCTATCTCCCCTGCACACAATTACTTTGAAATTATAAAATTTTACTTCACATAAGAGACCAATTATAATAAAATGTTACTTATTTGTAAATCACTTTCACATATCATATTCTACTTAATCAATCCACAAAAATGGGATCCAGCAATGGGGAACAGAAACTCCAAGATCAGAACAGCATTTCARTTAGAAAGCAAAAAATAAATAAATAAAAAATAAAAAATAGAAAATAAAACAAGGAATGAATGCCCCTACTACCAGTCCCTCCCTGATTCCAGTATCCACACCCACATGCAAAGTCAAGGCTAGCATGAGCGGGTACAGCTCATCTTTCTTCTTCTTTTGTAACTCGACGGATAAGGGAATACTGAGGGACGATGGAAAGAGGTGAGACTGATMTGTTCACAAAGCCAGAGCAGAGAGCTAAATTGTCTATGACAAGGTTCGGGAGGGTGGAAGGGTAAATCAGATGTCCTCCAAAATCTTCTGTGTTAATTCAGGAATGTTCAGAGGTGATATGATGGGATTATCAGAGCTGTGACCTAATTCGTCCATCCTAGTTTAAATGACTAAGTGGGTGATAACTAGACAGGTGGGGCATGGGTGGAGGAGGTGGGTCATTGAGGGCATGCTGGACATGGAGCTACAGGGCTCGTATGCATAGCTGGTTTTGGTTTCACTTTGGTTCCATCTCTTCCTTCTATATCCCTAATATTTCCTTTTGGAATGGGGATGTTTACTCTGTGCCATTATATGTTGGCRATTTGCTTTTGATGCTCACAGCTAAGACTTTGCCTTGAGTCTCAGATGAGTGGACTTTGACTTTTGGGCAACACAGGAACTGTTAAGACTATGGGACAACTTCTAGAACTAATAAATGAATTCAGCAAAGTAGCAGGCTATAAAATCAACACCCATAAATCAAAGGCATTTCTGTACATCAGTGACACATCCTCTGAAAGAGAAATTAAGAAAACTACCCCATTTACAATAGCCTCAAAAATAAAAATAAAATACTTGGGAATCAATCTAACAAAAGAGGTGAAATACCTCCACAATGAAAACTACAGAATACTAAATAAGGAAATTAAAGAAAACTTTAGAAAATGGAAAGATCTCCCTTGTTCTTGGATAGGCAGGATTAATACTGTCAAAATGACGGTGCTACCAGAAACACTACACAGACTTAATGCAATTCCAATCAAAATCCCAAAGACATCCCTCATAGAAATAGAAAAAGCAATCATGAAATTTATCTGGAAAAATCAGAGACCCAGAATAGCCAAAGCAAGTCTTAGAAGAATGAAGCAGGTATCACAATACCAGACCTTATACTATACTACAGAGCAATAGTAACAAAAMCGGCATGGTATTGGCACCAAAACAGACATATAGACCAACAGTACAGAATAGAGGACACAGAGACAAACTCACATAAATACAGTTATCTCATTCTAGACCAAGGTGCCCAAAGCATACACTGGGGAAAGGATAGCCTCTTTGACAAACGGTGCTGGGAAAACTGGAAATCCATATGCAGTGAAATGAAATTAAGCCCCTATCTCTCACCATGCACAAAACTCAACTCAAAGTGGATCAAGGACCTAGGAATTAGATSAGAGACCCTGCACCTAACAGAAGAAAGAGGAGACCCAAATCTTCATCATGTTAGATTAGGCCCTGACTTTCTTAACAAGACTCCTAAAGCACAAGAAGTAAAATCAATAATCAATCAATGGGATGGATTCAAACTGAGAAGCTTTTCACGGCAAAAGAAACAATCAGTGAGGTGAAGAGAGAGCCTACAGAATGGGAACAAATTTTTACCACACACGCATCAGAGAGAGCACTAATCTCCAGGATACATAAAGAATTCAAAAAACTTAACACACACACAATAAAATTACCCAATCAATAAATAGGCTAAGGAAATGAACAGACACTTCTCAGAAGAAGATATACAATCGATCAACAAATATATGAAAAAATGTTTAACATCTCTAGCAATTAGAGAAATATAAATGCAAACTACTCTAAGATTTCATCTTAGTCCAATCAGAATGGCAGTTACTAAGAATAAAAACATCAAAAAGTGTTGGCAAGGATGTGAGGGAAAAGGCACACTCTTACATTGCTGGTGGGACTGCAAATTGGTACAACTAATCTGGAAAGCAGTATACAGATTCCTTGGAAAACTTGGAATGGAACCACCATTTGACACAGCTATCCCACTCTTCAGTKTATACCCAAAGGACTTAAAAACAGCATATATACAGTGACATAGCCACATCAATGTTTATAGCAGCACAATTCACAATAGCTAAACTGTGGAACCAACCTAGATGTCCTTCAATAGATGAATGGATAAAGAAACTGTGGTGTATATACACAATGGAATATTACTCAGTATTAAAAGAGAATAAAATCATGGCATTTGCTGATAAATGAATGGAATTGGAGAATATCATGCTAAGTGAAGTAAGCCTATCCCCTCCCCCCCAAAAAATGAAAGCAGAATGTTTTTCCTGATGATTGGATGCTGATTCATAATTGGGGTGCAGGAGGAGTATGGGAGGAATGAAGGAACTCTGGAGAGGGCAAAGGGGAGCTAGGAGAAGGAGGAGGCAGGGGGTAGGAAAGACAGTGAAATGAGATGGACATCATTACCCTAGGTACATGTATGAAGACACAAAATGGTGTGATTCTACTTTGTGTAAAACCAGAGAAGTGAAAAACTGTGCTCCATTTGTGTACTATGAATCAAAATACATTTTGTTGTCCTGTATAACAAATTAGAACAAATAAATAAATGAGTAAATTTTTTAAAAAGACTATGGTGCTCTTGGAGATGATGTCTATGCATCTTTTCATTGTGAGATGGACATGCACTTTTGGAGGCCAGGGGGCAGAATGTTATGGTTTGGATATGAGGTATCTCCCCAAAGCTCCTGTATTAATGCAAGAATATTTAGAGGAGAAACATTTGGATTTTGAGAGGTGTTACCTAATCAGTCCATCCTAGTTTAATGGAGTGAGTGGTAACAGTAGGTAGGTGGGGTGTGGCTAGAGGTGGTAGGTCACTGAAGGCATGTTCTGGAAGAGTTCATCTCCTGTAAACACCGCCCGCCCCCCCTTTCTTGCCATGAGCTGGGGAACTTTCCTTCACTATGCCCTTCCACCATGATGTTCTGCCTCACTCTGGGCCCAGACCAATGGAGTTGGCTGACCATGGACTGAACCTCTGAAACTTGTGAGCCCAAAAGAAACCTTTCTCTTCTAAGTTGCCCTTGTCAGATAGTTTGTTTACAGCAACAAAACGCTGACTAACATAGTTGGGCACAGCTCAGAGTGCCAATTCAAATTGCAATAGGAAAAGACAAACTAAGGTTTTCAAAATACAGTCAGCCCCTAACTCCTGTGACCCACAGAATAGATCTCATCTAGCAAAAATCTAAGAAGGCAGGCCATTGAAGCAGAGCGGTCAACATTTCTTCTAGAAAGAAGGGGCTTCGTTCATCCCATGGCATATGTCTAGGGAGTTTTAGTTTCTGAATCCTGAAGAAGAGGGGAACGATTGTCAACTGATTGTAGTTAATCTGAGTGTATGTGTGTGTGTGTGTGTGTGTGTGTGTGTGTGTGTGTTTGGAAGTGTGACCTCATCATATACCCACACAATTCCACCTAGCGTTCAAGCTTATAAGGTAGGGGTTGTTTTCAGAAGGACCCGTAGTACTGGCCTTGGAAGTCATCTGTGCTGGTGTTTTGTAAGGACAGGGAGGGAGCTTATTCCAAGCCACTCATCAGGGTTTTGTGTGGGACGACGGAAGGCCAACTACCAGTGTAGAGAGAGAGACTTATTTTCCAAGAGTTCCTTTCTTGGTTAAAGAGGACCCGGAGTAATAACAGGGCTCTTCGAACAAAAAAAAGTGCCAGTGAGAATTTCAGTTCTGAAATCTCCCCACAGCCTAGGGGCTGGGCTTGGTGGGAGTATGGTTCTTGACATCACCTGCAAGAACTCCAGAACAGACAGAATCCGACTTTTAAGAAGATCCTCGGTTGACTTGATAAACACTGGCCCAAGCTTCCTCCAGTTCCCCAGGGAGGCACCATAAGAACCTACACCATCGATGAGGTGCCAGGGTGACATGTTATCACTCCAGTAACTTCAGTGACACCCCTGAACGTCATTCAGAGAGGTCAACCTTGATTTGCAGGTGAACACTAATCCTGAAGCATCTGAGGGCTTGAGATTTCCCCCCTATGGTTCTAAGATGAACTCRTGTTCTCAAAAGATGAAAAGGGGGCAGAAAGACTGCACACCATTCTGTCCTATTCTTTAGTTGTAAAAGAAAACTGGCCTCAAACTCCCTAAGGATGATGCAAAAATAAATCTCCCACTGACCTCCTGGTCATAGACTTAGCCTGTGACTTCAGTCTCCAAAGGGCTGGGAACTCTAGGAGGAAGCCTGAGGCCAGCCCAACCCAGCCTGCCCTTCTTCAGGACACGAAGAAGCCCCCAGCAAGCGAGTCCTCGAGAGGCAACTGTAGCAGCAGTGCAGCTACACATGGTACCTGGAGGGCCATGGTACTCACCAAGGGTTCGGATGGTGTCACTGGGCCAGCTGCGTGGGCTGGGGCCATGGGGATTCACGGCCCTCACGGCAAATTGGTAGTTGGTATCTGGWTCAAGGCCCTTGATGACCATGGAGTCCATCTGGATCTGCTCTTCGATTAAGGTCCAATTGTTGTCAAAATCTGGCCTTTTTTTAATTAAAAAAAAAGAAGAAAGAAATCATTCAGAAATACCATCAGGAAGGGGAGCTGGCTGGTGTGTAAAATAACAGCATTTGAACTCCGGAAGTGACACTCATAAACATGAGTTAACAKATCTTATCTGAAAGGGGTCCTGATTTTAAATCATGGGTCATCAAATGGAAGTTCCTGCCACTAAAAGCAAGGACATCGTATTTAGGGCCAAGAATCAGCACTGTGTAGAGACCAGCCGCTTGTGCTCGACAGTCTCGACTGCAGTGAAAAGACCCCCACACGGGAGAGTTCATTTTCAAGGACTCTGCTTTCCAGATGTTTCATAAACAAGCCTTCCCTTGGCAGCCCCATCCCCAGGGGTCAGGAGAGTGCAGATTCCATTTATTCACAATCTGTTCACAAATAAACAAATATGAGGTTTACAGGGTGACYGCACAAATTGCTATGGGAAAACCCAAGACAAATCTGCTTGTGGACATTCTTACTCTGAACAACTTATACATCTGTGCCCCCTCGCSGAACGTTCACATGTCCTTGTGAGTGTCCCGCAGAGAAGGCAGATCTCCATTTCAGCTCCCGTCTGGTAGGCAACAGGCAGAGGGTGAGAGTATATGCTCTGGAGTCAAACAGAGCCACGTTCAAACCCCAGCTCTGTTACTTAACCAGCTGAGACTTCTTTAGGACTCCATTTCTCCTATAAAGTGGGGAATGATGAAGGTCCCTACCTAAGAGGACCGTGGTAGACATGAAATGAGATACACACCATCAGTGTGGTGCCTGACATCCCACTGTAAACTCTCAGCCTGTGCCAGCCATCATCTAAGGGACTTGCCCACTTACAGAGCTGGTAACATATAGCTGCCTGCTTACTCTGGCCTTGGATGTGGTCACATGGTACCACTAACCCACGTGGCCAGTCAGCCCTTGAAATGTGGCCAGGCTGAATTGAGATGCATGCTAAGTACAAAATGTACAACAGATTTTATTTATTTAGGTATCGGGGATTGAACCCAGGGGTGTTTTACCCCTGAGCTACATCCCCAGGCCTTTCTTGTTTATTTTGAGACAGGGCCTCACTAAGTTGCTGAGGCTGGCCTTGAACTTGCAATCCTTCTGYCTCAGCCTCCCAARCTTCTGGGATTATAGGCATGTGCACTGTGCTGGTTTGTATAATAGATTTTAATGAAAAATTAAAAAAGAATGTGAAATATCTCGTTGATAACTTTTCATAATGGACACATGATTATAATGACACAATGGGTTAAAATAGTTTATTAAGATTAATTTCACTTGTTTTTTGTTATCTTTTTTAATGGCCCAATCAGAAAATATAAATTTTCATATAGACTTATACTGCATCTCAGTTGGACAGCTGTGCTCTGTATGAATGTCCCTTCTGAAGAGGAGAAAGAAGAGGGTTGTGGGTGATAAGAACAGCAAGATAAAAGCTGGGAAGATCAGTGTGTGAAGGGGGTCAGTGAGAATGAATGGCCTAACTGGAGGGTTTGTGTCAATAGCTGATAAGAGCTATCTCTTTGAAGTGCTTTCAAAGCACTGTTCTAATACTCATTTACTCCCCCAGCTGCCCTATGCAGCAGATACTAAGAGTGAGCACTCTACCCATTTGTTGTTGTTGTCTTAAATACAGAGGAGGAAACCAAGGCACTGAACAGGTAAGTAACTGGCTCAAGGTCATATGCTGAGAAATGGTGGGGCTGGCTTGGTTCCTGAGATGAAGTTAGATTGAGAAGATCCTTGGCATTAGATAAAAACTGCAGTGATRGTGGGTAAGGGCTACTCTCCCTCCTTCCACTTGTTCCCTGGCAATRTCCCTTTAGGATGTCCTACCACTAAACACATGTATTTAGAGGAAGGCAGGAAGCAAAAAAAGGTTGACATTGTCCGTGATGAACATCTTACCAGGCAAGGAAATGGAGACTCGTTATGCTAAAAAGAAATGTCTGAATGAACCACAGATTTCCCTTCCCACATTTTTCATTGGTGCATTATAGTTATATAACAATATAATTTGGCCAATATCATTCCCCAGTATTTCCCCTTTTCCTTTCCCAATCCCTTTCATCCGTTCTACTGATCTTTCTTTGATTTTCATGAGATCCGTACCCCAATCCCCAACACACACACACAGACACACACACACACACACACACACACACACACACACACTTTTCTTTTCCTTTTTTCCTCTCTAGCTTTTGCATATGAGAGAAAACACATGACCCTTGACCTTCTGAGTTGGGCTTATTTTGCTTGACCTAAAGGTCTCAAGGTTCCATCTATTTTCCTGCAAATGCCATAGTTCCATTTATTATGGCCAAATAAAACTCCATTGTGCATATATACCATATTTTCTTTATTTATTCATCCATTGATGGGCACCTACACTGGTTCCGTAGTTTGGCTATTATGAACTGTGCTACTATAGACATGGGCAGGCATGTGTCACTATAGCATGATGGCTTTAATTCTTTAGGATAAACACCCAGAAGTGGTATAGCTGGGTCTTATGGTATGAAACACAGATTTCTTTATATGTGTCTGCCTAGTATTTCATTGGTAGGAATCACTCAAATCCCAGTCACCAGATGCTTTCTCAGCTCACTGTGCTGAGGAGAGGTTTGCAGGGCTGGACCTCTTAAAGAATTTTCATGCTTAGAAAAGCAAATTTCACAGAGCACAGGGCATGCCCCCTGGAGAAAGAGGGCTGACTTCTTTCTCCCCTTACTCTTTCCCTAAAGATGGGCTTCTCATGTAAACTAATTTTATCATCAAAGAGAAAACCGCAGTGAGTCAAAGGAAACACATTTATAGACTCAAATTAGAACAAAATCACTTCACAGAGGAACACCACAGGGGATACCTGAAAGASAGTCCAAAAAGATGAGCTCTTCAGATAAAATTCTCCTGCTATCCTTTGCAAAGCTTTCCTTGTGATCGTTATAGAGAAAATAACTCAGATCTGTCCTCAGAGTATGCTGTTGTTTACCCAGTGCTACCTGTAAACACCTATGGCATCCTCATGTAAAAGTGATAGCAAAAGAAAGAACACAAAGATTATTTTGAATTTGTTGTTCATTTAATGTAGGGAGAGAAAAAAATCTATGTTGGATGAATAAGAGATTGAAATCATTAACATTTAATTTCATTTTATAGAGTGAGAGGGAGGCTCATGCAGATTAAATACCAGTTGGAAACCTTTAACATTTTGCCTGGGATGTTGTCATGTTTTCCATTTGAATGTTTTTAGAGTCTCTGGAGGTATAAAAGGGCAGAGGTGAGTTGAGAAAGAGATAACCAGGCAAAAGTATTGTCTTAAATCATCCTCAACAATAGTTTTATCTTCCCTGACTCAAGAAAATCATTTTACCCTAACTGCAAAAGTTTCCAACCAAATCACCATAGCAACACTTTCCCTAACAATGAAAAGGCCAGACAAGGAGGAAGTTGACAGAGAGGTGCTGCCATCCCAGGTAAAGGTGGAGGGTGGCCAGCAGGGCTTGCATTTCAAGCACTTGTCCAAGAAGTGGGGTAGGGCTGGATATGGCATCCCACACTTCAGGAGAGCAATGGCCGGCCTTTGGAGGTGGTTGGGCAGGGGAGACTGGGTAGGGCATCTATTGTGTGGTCAGCGGTGGCTGCTCAATGTCCAATTACTCAATTCCTAATCAAGCCACTCACTGGTTCGTTTTGGCAGGAAGAAGCACTTATCACTGGCCACCTCAGAATCCATCCTGACTATCAGGACTAGGTGGAATCTTCAAGATCCTTTGGTCCAAGTGTCTGAGGATTTGCAGAAATGATATGCAAGATTTTAAATGGGAGCACTTTCTTCATTTTTCTAAGGAGAGACTCCTTAGCTTTTATCAGATTTTCAAAGATAATCAAGATTCCCCAAATTTTAAGAGCCAATGGCCTAGTTTAGTGTTCATTCTACCCATATGGATACAAAAGGGAAATTATTTACCCAAAGTCACAGAACCACTGGGTGGAATATTTTTCTGTTTCATTCCTTTTCTTTTTCTTTTTTTTTTTTTAAAGTTTTGTTTTGGTTTTGATACTTTGCCCATTGCCAATCTCAGATTTAGTAAACAATTATTTTTCTTTGAACTATCAAATTCAGCAAGTGGCTGCCTTGAACCAGTCAGCTGGCAAACGATTAATGGTCGTCAAGCATGCATCCATCATAGAAGTTATATCTAAGGGGTGCTCCTAGAATGTATAAACACAGTCCAGGCTAAGGGAGTTAACAATCYGATTGGGGAAATAATACATCTAAGGATCAGTGCAGGAATAAAATGTCTAAGAACCACTAGGAAGCAGTGCAATACAGCATTTTTCAAGAACTGAAATGCTGAGGAAAGTGTATATTGGTCCATAACTTAAGAACTTAAGTTTGAATGTATTTGGATTTGGATAACTGAGAAGGAGTTGAGAATCCTTGGGTGGAGAAGAGACCAGAGTGACACCAGCTGCATATGACACAAACACACTAAGCATTAACYACAGGTAAATTATCAAGTGGGATAACCAAAGAGAGAAAATAATACGGGTGCTGGTGCTGCTATGAAAGACCATTTAATCCATACCAAAGATGGGTTTGGCATATACAAACATTAGCCATCAGTAGGTAAATAAGTAAGGCACTTCTTTTTTTTTTTTTAAGAGAGAGAGAGAGAGAGAGAGAGAGAGAGAGAGAGAGAGAGAGAGAGAGAATTTTTTAATATTTACTTTTCAGTTTTCAGTAGACACATCATCTTTATTTTATTTTTATGTGRTGCTGAGGATGGAAGCCAGCACCCCACGCATGCCAGGCRAGCATCTTACSGTTTGAACCACATCCCCAGCCCCAAGGCACTTCYTTACATACACACATGGTCAAGGCTTTCCTTATTAACATCTACTAATCMAATTCCCAAGTTGACCAATGATCCTCATTTGTTCTCACCAGTTGAGCAACTGGCTCATCAATAGT